TCTGATTTGAACATTGATATGAGTGCTATTATATGTGTATAGCAAGTCATGTGTATGGGAGCTCTCAAATGTGCGTTTTTTTCTTAACAGCCACGCAAAATTGAAGAAATCAAAGATTTCCTGCTTACAGCAAGAAGGAAGGATGCCAAGTGTAAGTTTAGTTTCAAATAAACAAGTCATAATCCATTTATGATCTCTGAGGCGGCTTTTCATTTCATGTATTGCTGGTTTAGTACTGTATATTGTGTCAGGTGGTTTGTATACTGTTTTGATGCTTTTCAAGTTTTCACAGAACTGATGGCAGTGCATCTCAATCCACGAGGACTGCACATTTTGAACGTCTGACACTCAATTCAGGTTTAGATGCTCTGTCTACATTAAACCGGATACATTTGAAAACTTTAAGCACGCTCCCCGTCTGCTAGTTTTCCAAAAGATGCTCATCCACACTGAAACGTCTGAAAATGCTTAAATCAACTTACTGTGCATGTGTAAATCATTATAAAAGCTTATTTGATTATACAGAGAGAGCAGACACAAAGTTAACACAATGTTCTTCAGGCACGATCGTTTTATTACTAAAATATCCCAACGCTCACTTTTGCGTCCATGTCTCCCTCTAAACCATATGGTCTAAAACGCAATTGTCGGTTTTTTTCAGTAATTGTGAGTCATCTTTGCAGAAAATGTTTTCAGATTTATCCACTTAGGAGCGTTTTCAAAGCTCTGTTTTCGTTGATAAAAATGGCATCCCCGTGTGGATAGAAGGCCAAAACAGAAAGATGCATTTTCTAATGAAAACGTATTAGTGTGGTCAAGGCAAGAGACTATAGTATGCAAGTTGTCCAAACACTTTGGGCTTGTTCTGTGCCCACTGTGCATTTACACGCTTGCTAGAGCAATGATGGACCTAGTGCTGAATTTCGCATCTCTCCGAGATTTCAGTTCCACCGGTTCACTAACACATATAGCTGACACACACCTTGAAGTAAGCTGATGTAAATCACGTGTTAAATGAGACGGACATCCAAAGTGTGCAGTACTTGGGTCTTCCGGGACCGGGATTGACATGCACTGGCTTAAGATTGAACAGATTTTGTACTGTTGGCCTAAAAGGACATAATGTACAAAAAGGAATGAATTTCAGATGCCTGAGTTTGTGACAAGTATTGTGCAAATAATACCATTGCTATTTTAACACATTAAATGTGTATACGCATATTTAGCTTCTGCATTGGCTATTGGAAAAATGTGTACTTGTATTGATGACTTCTCTAAACTCTAAATTCATGTTTTCCAACAGCTGTTAAGATCAAGAAGAACAAAGACAATGTGAAGTTCAAGGTCCGCTGCAGCAGATACCTGTACACATTGGTCATCACAGACAAAGAGAAGGCTGAGAAGCTCAAGCAGTCCCTGCCACCAGGTCAGTCTTCAACAACACCCAATCAAACCGCAGGGATGAAATGCAAATAAGATTATAACAGAACACGTCAGTACGTTTACATGGACATTGGACAACAATATTCTGACATTAAGCCGATTAGGACAATACTCTGATTAAGAAACTAACATGTAAACTGATTTCGGATTACCTTCAACTGGCTAAAGTCATACTCGAAGTAAACGCAAATTGAATTAAGACGTGGAGTATTCCTATTTGTCACATTATTGAAGTGCGTTATAGACATGTACACACCTTAATCACACTATTATAAGGCCCTATGATTTCCGCGATCACGGAATCGTGGACGGAATTGGCAAATTAACGCGGAATCTAGTGTCAACGCGGAATTTCGTGGAATTTTACATATTTGGATTGAAATTCTGTTTTTGTGTGGGAGAAGAACGTTTGTCTGGTGAAAATGCAGACCGGGGGAAGCAAATCTGGGCGACACAACCCCTCCCGTCATTTCAGCTCCAATGACGGCATCAAAACAATGAAAGCATGGCGAAACGGCTCTGCTTTCCTCGGCGAAAAAGTTGAGAAACTCGACGCTATAAGCCCTCAGTGCCGAGCAGTTCGCACGTGACTTTTATGCAGTGTTTCCCACACATAGACTAATTCGCGGCCACAAAATCAACTCCGGCCGCCACATATTGCGTTTCGTCTCACATGCGCACACGCACACACACAAACACACCGCGTCTGTCTATGAGGCGCCAGACTGGACAAAAGCGAAGCGAACTCCGCGAGCGACACTGGGCGAGAGAGAGACAGAGTGTGACTTTTATTTAAACTAATATAATTTATTTTACTGGACAGTTTAAAGCTCATAACCATATTTTGTTGTTACTTGAAGAGTGCAGTGTCATGTGGCATCATGCAGTATTTGTCCTGAAAAGGCTACTGAGTAAATGTCTGTAATTTAAGGTCATTCCTATTTTATTTGTATACATTTTAATCATTAACTTTAAAAGCACTCTTTTTATGACTAAAATAACAGTAAACAGTAAAAAAAATGAATTCCCAAAAATTAAAACGGAATTTGGGGAAAAATCAAATGGAATTTGGGAAAAAATAACACGGATTTCATAGGGCCCTACTATTAGTCGTGTGGGAGTTTTCACAGCATTTTGCGACAGGACACACACACACACACGGCAGTGGTCACCTGTTTGACGGCAAACAAGAGAGCATGGCTTCAGGATTTGTATCTGCCCTCATCTATTCGCACATAAAGCATGACAAATATGGCATGGTGGTTTTTATTCGTTTTCACGGATCCGTGTGAATGGAGATCGTTTTGACTATGGTGTCGTCTGTATGCGGAAAACTCAAAGGACAAACTTCTCCGTTTTAAGCAAATCGTTGTTGTGTAAACGTACCCTTAAGACTATATGTTTGGCTGTAGAAATGCCATTTGTGTTGGATATAAAAGAACGTAATGAATCTTGAAATGTTAATTTATCATTGAGTCAGTGATGGTCACTATAGTCACCTATTTTCAGGCTTGAAGTAAAGCTGTTTATGTATTATAGTTTAGCTCTTAATTGGTTTATATAGAATTTTTGTGAGATCCTTTACTTGATTTTAATCTTCAAATGCCAACCGACTGGAAACAACAGGTGTTTGTGAGGTGTGCAAGTTGTCCAAACACTTTGGGCTTGTTCTGTGCCCACTGTGCATTTACACGCTTGCTAGAATAATGATGGACCTAGTGCTGAGTTTCGCATCACTCTGAGATTTCAGTTCCACCGGTTCACTAACACTTATAGCTGATACACACCTTGACTTGGTCCCTTCACAAGCATTACTGTAAATGTGACCCCTCTCTCTTTCTGGTTTCAGGTCTGGCTGTGAAGGAGCTGAAATAGATGTCTCTTGTACAAAATGTTGGAATAAAATTGGGAAAAAATTAAGTGGTTTGTGTTTCTATACTGTTCACAGTTTTTGATCTGTTTGATAAAAAAAAAAATCATGCTTGTTTAGATTGTGCAAAGTATACACGCCTGTTTTTTTGGGGGTCAGTAAGATTTTTTTTTTTTTAAGAATTGTCATTTTAAGGACATTAAATTGCTCAGCCAATCCTTGCATTTTTTCCAAAACATTCAAATAAATGCTGATATTTAGGGCATCTTTTCTGTTTTTAACATTGATTATAAATGTTACAGCACCAAATCAGATGCTGAAAATTCAGCTTTGCCAGGGACAATTGTTATTTTAAAATAGATATTACAATATTTAAAATAGAAAAGTTTCTCACAACATCAGTTTTTACTGTATTTTTGAAAAACATGAAAAAATCTTGCTGATGTTAACTTTCTGTACTATGTGAAATTTTCATTGAGCTCAAATTTATTAGCATTAAGGGTTTTAAGCCAAAAAGTTTATATTGTAAATGTTAGTTGAGTGTCCAAACTTTTGACTTGCTGCATTTCTTACAAGCTTCATACCCTTATAAACTCCTTGCACAATTATAATTTAAATTGCTTGTTTAGAAAACAATAATAATTATGGTATTTTAACACTCAATGGTATTTGGTATGAAGTCAGTCTCTACACATTTACAAAACTTCTGTAGATGTAATAAAACTGACACATTCCCTTGTGTCCATGATCATGGAATCTTTAGTACGTTTACCTTTATTTGAATTACACGGGTTACTTTTTATGGGTGGGTCATTGCATGGAATGGATGTCATTTCCATTTTGTGTTGCTATAAAAAAATTTTTTTGCATTGTCATCTAAAACTAGATGGAAAAATAAGATTTATTAGCAATTACTCATGGCCTTCTCTTCGAGTTCCCGAAACTACAAGGTGTTTGTTTAGAGAATTTATTGCTGATATTTCAAGAAATGTACTGTTTACTGTGCAAAACCCTGACAACAGGATTGACGTTTTAAGATTACTTACAAAACCAACACAAAGAGCCCATGTTCTTAAATAATTAGCATAAGGCAAGTATTTATATAACACATTTCATACATTATGGCAATTCAAAGTGCTTCACAGAAAGGAATTAAAATAATGTCAAAATTAAGGCAAGGACAATTAAAAGAAATGAAGAGATATATGATAGTTATAAAATGACTTTTCCCCATGGTGATTAAACTCTGTGGAGTTCTTTCGGCGAACACTAATAAAATACTATTTAAACGGCAAACATTAATGAAACGATCTCACTATATAAGTTAATGGAGTAGTATGCTAGCCTTAATTTATATGTTACTCTTTGAAACGAAACCACGAGAAGAAAACAAATTGATCTTCTGTACCGGTGTCTGCATTTACTTGAATTGCCCAATAGATGGCAGCATTGCGTCGGATATTTTTGTATATGAATTACCGGTACTTCATTTAGCATTTATCTTTTTAAGTATATTTTATTCTAACAAGTAATTTAAAGCTAAACTCTAAAATAAATAATATACCCAATCTCTACTAAATCTCGTTTTCAACGCAATTAAACCACCATAAAAAAAAAAAAAGTTCCGAAAGAAAGAAACTGCCTCTTTTCTTATTCAGGCGCGACCCCGAGTCCCATTCGTGCGCTCATTCAAGGCAAGCTCGCTCCCGAGTTATGAGCAGAGAATGAGCGCACGACACGCGCAGGAATGGCTGCGGCACGAGACCAGGATTTAATGAAATAATTCCTCGTTTCCCGTGAATTCTCATGGTCTGCGATTTGGGGGAAGTATTCAGAGATCTTCTTGTGTCCCTTTCGGCACTTTTGTTTCAGTACTCAGTCTCTCTAATATCCACATTCATGGCTTTTGTTTGAGAAGACAAGCCACCGGAGAGTAAACGGGGAAGAAACACCCTAATTGTCTAACGTTACCGTCTCTATCTGGGAAAGTGATTTATTCGTCTCCTCGACTGCTGAAGGATGTCGTCTGCACGGGTTGATTATATCGCTCCTTGGTGGACTTACTGGCTTCATCAGTTTCCTCATGTGAATCTGAGGTTTCAGCCGCTGGATCACACATTTAAACCGCAAGAGGAGAACTACCAGCAGGTCAGACCGTCTGTTCATACTGTCATACAGAGGTTCATGGTTCAAACAGTCAAGATAAACTTCGTGTACCGCACTGTCACACTTAGTTTATCTTTGGGACTCCATGTCATACTTCAAAAATATACCAACTTGATAACATGTTTCGGAAGCCATGTACACTGTCTTCCTATTCCCGTTTAAGATCTTGTCAGTTTGAATTTGTTTACTAAGATTTTTTCCCACAATGTGTTTTAATTGGAGTCAAATTTGAGCCCAGACACAAATGCTATAGTCTACTTTTTAACTATTTTAGATTAGTTTTTTATTTTTATATTTTCAGCTTTAATTTTAAAGTTGAAGTAATTTTGTTGCATGTTTGTGTCATTTTCATTAGTTATTTAATTAATATTTTAATTTCATGTTTAGTTTCATCTTAGTACATCAAGTTAAACATGTTAAAAATGATCTAGGCCCTATGTTTTAGTTAACTTGAAATCATGGTGTAAAAACAGTTCAGACTGATTTCATGCTCTGCATTTTCACTGTTTGGCCTTTGAGAGACTTCAAGTCCATTTGTTTAATGGCTTAAAGCTGAGGTTCATACTTTTATGAGAAAGATTATGAACAAGATTGCAACATTTTTCAGACGACTGATTAGAGAGCCCTTATGCAATATGAATGAAATACAATGCATTTTCACATGCATTAGTTCTCTGATTTGTCTACACTGTTCCTCGACTCTAACAGAAGTAATGTTTCTGCCCTGGATAACAGGCTCTTTCTGAAAAGTGCATGCTTTCTGGTGCGACATGGTTAAAACCGCAGAAATGTGTATCTGCTGTTTTGATAGGTTCAAATTGGGACATATTAAGTAAACTATATCTGACTGACAATCACTGTCATAACCAAAACCTCATTTCACAGGCAGCATAACTGGATCTTATTTTGAACCAGATTCTTCTAATCAAGTCACTAAATCACCAATTTCTCACCCAGACTATAAGTTGCTTGAATCTGTCCTGAACCTGTCTTTGTTATCGTGATGTGGTTCTTCCACTGACCTGTATCAACATTCAGTTGATTAGAGATGGAGTGAGAGGAATGTGACAGAGCATGGAGGGGCAGAGTGCTCATTTCTGTAGCTGTCTGTTTCTATTAAGGCACTAAAGGCAGATGGTGTTAAATGGAGGCAGAACGAGACCAGATGCTGCAGTGTGAAATCAGGCGCTCACGCTGGGTCTCGGAATCAACACCGGGGCGTTTTCAGATGGCCCGAGGGATCCTCCTTCATAACCCATTTTCCCCTAGTTTGTCAATCTAAATGCTCTGTTCCCGCTGACGCTGCTCTTTGAATCCTAATGTGGATTTTCAGCAGAACAGGAAACTGGTGGGATCTCTTTCCTCTATGGGGTTTTAGGATTGGCCTGGGAAACCATGCATATGAGCTCTCTGCCAAGCTAAGAGACTGTTGTTGTGCTTTATATCTAATTGCTAATGTTTATTATGAGCACCATGATGCGCTCTCTATAGAGACTCGCTGTGTTTAATTGTTTCAGCAATTTAGCCAACACTAAATGGTCCAAATGATTAGGAGAGAAATATTGAATTGGTAAATAAAAATAAGTTTGGATTCATTTCTTGTTCTGAATTTGTTCCATTGCATCCTTTAGATTCAGATGCCAAAAGGTTCCCATTGGTCACAATTAATTTAATAAATCACATTGCAACTAATATCTATAATTTAAAAATATATATATATTAAAGCATTCTATAGAGTATAAAATCAGAATCTGTTTATTTATTTTAGTACTAAGTTTAAAAAATATAAAAACATTCCAGAGTGTGTAAAATCAGTTATTTTATGCGTTTATTTATCTAATTATCGTTTATTTATTTCATACATTTACATTTCAAAAATATAAAACCATTCCAGAGAGTGTAAAATCAGTTATTTTATGTGTTTATTTATCTAATTATTGTTTATTTATTTCATACATTTACATTTCAAAAATATATAAAACATTCTAGACTATAAAATCAGTTATTTTATTTTTTTGTTTATTTTTGTTTATCAAATATTATCTATTTTATACATTTATTTTATTATTTATTTGTTTGCTTTGCATGCTTTCACTCCTTATTTGTCGCTGACCCAAGTGAAAATATTTCCTCTCCATGTTTAGACCTAGATTCCCCAATGAGCAGGCCCAGATGGAATCTGCAGACGGTTTTTTTGTGTATCTTCTGTGCTGATTTTTTTGGGGGAAAATCTGTGGAATAAATGTAAATATGGTCCAATATAATAATAAACAGAGCTTTTTTTTGTGGGGGTTTGTTGATACAGATCCCTTTTGGGTCTGTTAGTGAGGACAACGACTAAGTAGACGTCAATTCTAGAAAGGACCAATCGTCAAGTTATGCCTGAGTGGATATGTGTTTGTGCGTTAGATGGGTCAAAAGTCATCTGTCCATTCATTTATTTCCTGCGGGGATGAATTGCTAACAGCTGTTTTTTTCTCCCCATCCCACACAGAGGATGCATCTGTTTGATTCACACCATAAAAGGGCTGTTTGTGCCCATACATTTATTTAAAGGCACCTGTAGGCATATATATTGCTGTTTTTGTGGTTAGGATGACTGCAATCTACAAGAAATTTGACTTTTGAATAAGAACCTAAAGGTTCCATTTTTACTCTGTGTGGTTGCTAGGGTGTTCTGGATTGTTGTTAAGTGGTTGTTTACTGGCCTATGTCAAAAGAGTTCATGTGATAGGCTATTCCTTAGACTTCTGATGACCTCTCCTCATCAAGCTGCATGATTTGAGGTATACCATTCATGTCTGTAGCACAAACTGGAGTTAATTGCTTGTTTAATACTTAGGGTCAAGTTCAAATCAATGAGCATTAGGAACATTGATGCTTGCCTTAGCACACACTAAAAATGAGGAGAGAGAAGGGTTATTATTTTCAGATGCAGATGGATGAAATCTGTGCTTTAGTGACCTCTATGAACCATACTGAAATTCCCAGTCATCTGACTCATCTGACCCTCAGGTGATGTAGCTGATTTCCTGATTTTTTGTTGTTGTTGCCGTTTCTCTTTCATTAATGTGTTATTTAAAGACAAAGTTTGGTACGGAAATAAATAATTAAAATATCTAGCTATCTCGCATGCTGCTTTCCATTCAACTTGGAATGTCAAACTTCCTGCTTGGAACAGTTTGATAGACCGGAAATCACTTGAAATCAGGCTACAAACTTGGACCAAAATTTTAAAAGCTGACTTCAAGATGTGTTCGTATGATGAACATGGTGAAGACTAAAATTTCATCTTTTAATCTAATTTCATTACTTAATATTATGTATCTGTATTATTAGTATAATCAGTTGTATTATCTTATGAAGTTTAAAATGCACGAGTTGGACTATAGATTGCATGGACACGTGTTTAAGGATCGTATTTTAGACACAAGGAGGGGAGCTGGCAGAGTTATATATTTTGCTTGGAGGTATGTGTGCAATGCAACGTTCACTGAGCAATGATGATACATTAAATGTGTACAATTGGCATGTTCTTTAATGGAAAGGAATGTTTCAACTGATGCAAATGTACCACTAATGTATACACAGAGGGAAAGTGGATTGTACCATGTGGAAGCATGAGGTATACATTCCATTTTAAACATAAGCAACATGTTTTGCTACCTTACAAGGAAGTTGAAAGTCACTCAGTGGTGTATATGAGCTCAATCCTTACTGTACCACCTCAGAGAAACATAAAGGCATGACGAGGTGAGAGGAAGGAGAAATGGAGATGAGGGGGTGAGGGAGGAGAAACACAGAGTTACCGCATTTACAGCTGACATGATGGGGTGAGAGGATAGAGAAATGGGGAACAGAGAAATCTGGAATGAAGACCACCTCGCCTGTAGCCTTATTCTTCTATGCCTGTTTCTCTCTGTCTGATACATGTAGAAAAATAATAGATCTCTTGGCAAAGTAACTGGTGTAGCTTCCGTGATTCAACAATAATGGGGGAAAAGCATGATTTTTAAATCACGGCCAGGGAGTTAATGCTAAAAACATTCGTATGACTTAATAAAAAAAGAGACATTTTGAAGAGTTGTGCTTGTAATCCATGCAGTTGCAGAAAGTAGAAAGGGAGCTTTTTGGAATAAAAAAAATGCAATTTGTGCACTTCGGCCAGCAGTAAACACATCTGTAAACACATTTTCCATCCTTCCTGAATACCTCTTTACATCCCCCGTAAATGAACATTAAGTGGAAAGAGCAGTTTAATGTCTGTAAGCTGTTGTTTTTTTAATCGTGATCATCAAGAGGAGAAGCGCATTAGCCATCCAATCTCACACCGACAATACCATTGTCTGACTTGATTAAAATGGAAAACAGACACTTGAAGAGTCTGGTCTTTCACATTGTCTGATCAGTTTGATTTACAAATCAATTGTGGTTTGCAACTCTGCATATCTATCTGATCAGTCAAAAAAACAACCACAAGGGTCCTTTCTGCACAAGGGTAACCAAACAGAATTGTAAAGAACGGTTTCCTGAACACTGTCGCTATTTTCCATTGTTTGGAGAGATAGTAAGTCCTCCTGTCCCAAACAGTGTCCAGTGATATGTCAGGCTGCATGGTTTAATGTTCAAATGAACAGAAGAGTGTTTTAATAGCACCACAGAACCACAGTGTTTACACTTTTGAACCTACAAATGACATATTTGTCATTGCACATGTATAAAAACATACACTCTTCAGCTTTAAGATGAAGAAATGTTTGCTCAAAGGCCAACATTGACTGAGTCATAAGTCTTATGGGAATAAAAAATGCCTTGTGATTTATTTTTCTTAGAGTAAATGTATTTGGAATTTCCCCTGTGCTCATGTTGATCATTACTTTCAGAAGGGCAGTCAATATTTCAGTTCAGAAATATTTTATAGACCATTTGATTGGACAAAAACATGTCATGCCAGATGTCACATCAATATTTTTGTTCTGTTT